GCTGACTCGCCTCGGGCTGACCTGAAAGGGGGTGGGGCTGGGGCATTGAGGGGCTTCCCTACTCTGGGTGGGTATCCACCGAGCCTGGGCAAAGCCAGGGGGAGGGTGGATGGGAGCTAAGTAGGTATAGGACCAAGACGGTCCCTGTGATGGGCGCTGGAACCCATGCGCTGCCCTAGCAATCTGGGCTGGGGCGAAGGGCCGGCACTGAACAACCCTCTTTCCTTCCTAGGACTGGGTTGGTTGGTTAAGGGGACAGAACAGAGGGCCCAGGCTCGGGTTGGGTCCCCTGGGTGAGAGTCTGGCTTGTCTTGTCCAGAGTTTGGTGGGCGCCACCCCTCCACTGCTACTTCCTTCAGGCTGAGGCTCTATTCCCGTGGACACCCCCCCGAGTATTCTCCCCCAACCCCGTGAACCAGGACACCCTGGCCAGTTCACTGGCCGATGATCAAGGGCCAGATGGAGAAAGCTGGGCTGGGGCAGGGAATGGAGAGAGACTCCTGAGTTTCTACTGAGAACCTGGGGTTGGTTGTAGACTTGACCCAGGTAGTGAGAACAGGATTGCTCTTGAATGTAAGGTCATTGTTTCATCCTCAGAAAGACCTCATAGAGGTCCTTGGGCATCGCAGAACAGGGGGGGTCTTGGGGCAGCTATCGCTGGGCTGTCAGTCAGGGTAGCCAACATGGCTCCATGGTACCTGGCTCTGCTGGGTCAGTCAATTCAGAGCACTCAGGGCTGGGAGCCTGGGCCAGACTGAGCTGGAGAGCCCTCAAAAGCCAGGAAAGATGTCTGGCTCACCAGGCACAAGGATGCCTGGCTCAGCCCCAAGGACATCAAGGATGTCAAACACTTCATCTTGCCTCACCTGTGCAATTGGTGACAGCCTGGTTACCTCTGGGGGAGGGCAGGGCAGAGTCTTTTCTATTTGCTGCTAGAGGGTTGAGTGTGATGGTCAACTGCCAAGACTGGGCTCAGGCTGGGTGTGTTGAGCTGAGGGCTTCCGGCACCTGTGGCTGGAGCCCAAAGTGTGAGATGGATAGTATCAGGCTTGTCATCTCTCCTTTGCCAGGTCGTGAGGTCTGGGAGGGTATAGGAAATATGAAGGCTAGGCAGACGGAAGTGTCAGGCTCCGGGACCTTAGTGACTATCTGGGGGCTGAGGCTGAGGTCAGGAGTCACTTGGGAGGGGGGCAGGGATGGGCTCTTGCCAGAGTAGAGCAGGCCATTCATTCTGGTCTCCTGGTCACCTAGAACATGTGGATCTGGAGCAGAGCTCACTGGGAGCTCAGCTTATTTTGCCTGCCTGACCTTATTAATCCTAGCCACAGAGGTTGGGAGAACTGTGCAGGGGCCACTGGGCAACCTCAGAGGGGTTGTATTTCAGCTGGCTATAGGGCCACTGCCTCCCCTCCCTCTCATCATGCCCTTGGCATTTGGCACTGGCTCCTGGTACCATGAGTAGGGAAGGGAGCCTTGGGATGCAGCCAGGGAAGCCTTGATAGAGATCTTCAGGGGCCGGTGTCAGAGAACCTATTACAGTGCCAAGGCTCAGAAGACTAGGCTCTGATTCCTGCTGTGTAAAGTGTACGGATCCATTCTGTACTGCAGAATCCTGTCACAGACCAGGGAGTCTATCAGGATGTTAACTGCCACCATTACTCAGAGGTGTGATTGGACTTCTTGTCACGGAGCCGCTCCCATGTGCTGAGCCCTGGTTGGCTACTGTGGCTCACAGCTCGGCTACAGAACCAGCCCTCAGTTTCCAGTTTTGCAGAGGAGACCCACAGGCACCAAAGAGTTATCTCAAAGTGTGGATCCAGCACAGGGGACCATGCTTCCCACCTTTTCTCATGTCACTTTCAGGCCGTCTCCTTTGAGAGCAGGATCCGCAGTCCCCAGTGCAGGGAGTAGTGGCTAGCAAAATACATGCAGGATCCAACTGAAGGGAAGCCAATGTTGGGTGTGGCCAACCTGGTTTAGATAAAGGAGCAGAGAGTGGAGCAGGCAGGGGTCCTGGTAAATGAGTAGGCAGCTGTAGACGGGCTGACCAGAGAAGCAAGCAGGAAAACTGAGGGGTGTGATGAGAGTCTCTGAGAAATGAGACCACAGGCAGATTGAGGCTTTAGTTTTCTGAAGCCCAGTCACCTAAAAGCAAGCCAGAAGATGGGTGGTAGGGATCGCTGGGTAGGGATTATTTGGTAGGTGCAAGGCCATGAGATGAGGAAGTCAGGGAGAGCCCAGAGATGGGAACCAAAGGCCACAGGAAGAACAGGTCCGTGAACTGGCTGTGGGGGAACTGAGGCCCAGCAGAGGCCGGAGTAATGTGATTTTCCCCAAGGGAAGGTGGAGCAAACAGGACGTCAGAGTACTGTGATGGCCTGGGGCGGTTAGGGGCGCAAGTCTAGGCAGTAACGGGGTAACTGGGATATGGCTGCTGATATCCCCCACTCCCACCCCATGCCCTGCCCCTGTCACTCCTGGGGAGCGGCGGAAGAGCCTCGGCTGTCCCCATGAGGAGGAGCCTTAGGATGCTCCCCTACTCTGCGGTCTACGCCGGCAGGATCTTCATCCCCAAGAAGCACCGAGCACGCTTCGATGAGGTGGTGTCGCAGGGCCTGCTGGGCAAGCTGTGCCGGGCCCGCCGGACGCAGGGCGCGCAACGGCTGCGCCGGAGCCGCAGTGAGGAGAGGCCCGAGC